TTTCGGGGTTTTGAACAGCAGCAGCAGCAGCAGCAGTGGGTGGTGCCGGGTGGTGATAGGGTGTATGTGTGTGGCGGGGGCTGGTGAGCGGCGAAGACAAAAGATCTGCGGGTTAAAAGGCCTTCTATGCATTTATTTATTCCAAATTGAATAAAAATATTCCAATTAAAAACATAAATATAATTTTGTTTAAAATATTCAAAGTGTAATGCAATTTGGCGCCACCGCTGCCGACCGGCCGCAGCCAAAAGTTGAACTGCATGCCAGCCAAACGCAGCCCCACCGCTGGTCGCATCCTTCTGTTTTAATTGAATTTCCTTCGAAAAAGTCAAAAGAAAATGCGAGTTGAGTTGTTTAATTGAATTAATTTCATTTAAATCTTTGAAGCGGCCTCTCGCGCGGCCGCAACTCCCGCTTTCGCGTCGCAGGGCGGCGGCGCATGCGCGCTGCAGTTTCTTCGTTTTTTAAGCTTTCGCCTCTCCTTACCTGTCCCACTGCATGCAAGAGCATTATTGAGATGTTTTAAAATTCTTTTTTCTTTTTTCTTTTCTCTTTTGAGCCCCCGACCCCGCCAGCAGCTGCGCCGCAACCCCAGGTGTATGTACACCCCAGCTGCAAAGGGGCGACAGGGCCCTCCCCGCTCCGCCACTTCCTATCACTTTAATAAATCCTTCGAGACTTTCTTTTAAAGACTTCTAGACTTTCTTTCAAAGACTTCGAGGCCTTCTTTATAAAGACTCCGTGACTTTCTTTTCTTCGTGGACTCGCCCTGGGGCCTCAGCCGCCAGAGAAAGGGAATCTCAACTTGGAAGAAATAAATAAATATATAAATAAATAATTTAATAAACAAACAAATCAACCAATAAATAAATAAATAAATAAATAAGATGTCAAAACAGTCTTCGGCGGTCAACAGGCCCGACGCCGCAGACCTCCTCGAGCTCCCCCCCGGCGTTCACAAGTGCGTCTGTCTGCTGCTGCTCTTTAGGGTTTAGGGTTTAGGGTTTAGAGTTTAGAGTTTAGGGTTTAGGGTTTAGCCTGCTGCTGCCTCAGCTTTGTTTCCCTGCGGCCCTTTCCCTCTTCAAATAGATCCAAGGGGCTTTACCGAGTCCTAATTAGCTGCAGCAGCAGCAAACTCCTAGCCAGCGCCCAAGGCAACTAGCAGCAGCAGCAGCAGCAGCAGCAGTCCTAGTTCGAGCACTTGTTTGTCTTAATGCATCATCTCTTATCCCGCGCCTCCTTTTGGCCTTTTTTGTCTTTTTGGCTTTTTCGTCTTTTCGTTTTTTCTTTTTTGTTTTTATTTTCTTTCCGCCTTTGCGGCTGCTGCTCAAGCGCAGCTGCAGCAGCAAAAGATGACCCCTGGCGCCGCTGCTGCTGCTGTTGCTGCTGCTGCTGCTGCTGCAGAGTCGAGTGGGCCCCAGACCTTCGGTTTCCCCTCTGCGGCACCTTCACCCTCTACCTCGAGGACTACACAGTCGGCTACCTCCTTAGAAAGTGAGCAGGGTTTAGGGTTTAGGGTTTAGGGTTTAGGGTTTGGGGTTTAGGGTTTAGGGTTTAGGGTTTGGGGTTTAGGGTTTGGGGTTTAGGGCCTAGGGTTTAGGGTGTAGGGTGTGGGGTTGAGGGCGTTTGGGCTTCACTGGGGCCTGAACATCAGGGTTTAGGGTTTGTTCTCCGGGGCTTAGCTGCTGCTGCTTCTGCTGCTGCTGCTTCTGCTGCCGCTGCTGCTGCTGCTGCTGCTGCTGCTGCTGCAGTGACTTGCTGCGGGACAAGAGGGTGAAGTTTGTGGGGCTGCGGCAGCCGCACCCGCTGACGGCTTCGATTGAACTGCGAATCCAGGCGGTGGACGTGGGGCTTCTTCTATTATTTAATTTAATTAATTGATTTAATTGATTTAATTGATTTAATTAAATTAATTGTATTTAATTTAATTTAATTTAATTTGTTTTATTTTGCTTCGGTTTTTGCTGCTTCGCGGGGTGGTTTGGCTGGGCCTCTTCGCTCTCCCGCCGCTGCCGTCGGGTCCAAAAATAAACACTTTTGTTTAAATTTATATTTATTCATTTTTGTTTTCTTTATATCTCTTTACGTGTATATTTGTATCTATATTTATTTCTATATTTATGTTTATATTTATATTCATATTTATTCATATTTTTATTTATGTTTATACTTGTAGTTGTATTTAGAGTTGCTTTTATTTATTTCTGCGTGGGTGTTTTTGCCTGCTGGAAGAAATTTGGTGTTTTGATTTATTTGATTTTCCTTTTTTTGAAAGTTATTTATTTCTCTTCCATTATTTTTGTTTCGACTTTTGAAATATTAAAAGCTATTTCGGCTTTTAAAATATTTAATATTATTTCATGCTTTGTTCATTTATTTATTTTTGTTTGTATTTATTTACTTATTTATCTATTTATTTATTAATTTATTATTTATTTATTTATATGTTTTATATGCATATGTGTACTCATATTGTAGCTTGCATATATATCTGTGCAAGTTTAAATCCTCCGTACGCGATTCCACGCCACACTAACCAATTAATATTTATTTTTGAACTTATTTCCATTTACTTATTTATTTATATTTATTTATATTTATTATTTGTTTATTTATTTATTTATTTATTCATTTATTTATTTATTTATTCGTTTTTGTGGCCAGGTCTCCCCGCTGCAGCTGTTCCTCGAGACAGTGCGGCGCCAGCGAACTTCCTTGACTTTTCTGGGGGCGCTTTTTAAGGCCGCAGTGGACGCGTACAGCAGCAGCAGCATGAGCAGCAGCAGCAGCAGCAGCAACTTGGCGGCCAACTTGACCAGCAGCTTGGGCGACAACTTCGGCAGCAGCAACAGCAGCAGCAGCAGCAGCAACTTGAATGAAGGCCTCAGCTCCGCAGCCAGAGCTGCGGAGGAGGGGGCCCCCCTCGCCCTCGAGGGCGAGGGGGGCCCCCCCTTGTCCTTTTGAATCGCCTGCATTGGTTTATTTTTAGTGGCGTTTTATTTAATTAATTCCAATTTATTTAGCACTTAATTAATGTAGTTCGTTTAGCATTTATTTAATGCAATTCATTTAGTCTATTAGCTCCAAACTTGGCAGCAGCACCCGATCTGCAGGCGCCGGGGCTGGCGGGTGGCCGCGGCTGCCGGCGCCATCGGCGGAAGAAGTGCCAGAATAAACAGTGAAGATGAATTAAAAAGGTATTATAATGAAAATGAAACGAATTAAAATGAAAAATAATATAAATAGTCAACAAAGAGGAAAAGAAGGCTGCTGCTCTTACGTGTACAGCATGTGGGCTGTCGCGGAGCAGAGGGGCAGTGGAGTGTTGCTGCAGGTCACATGGGTGTGCCTGCTAGTGAGCTGGCCAAAGAGGGGTTTCACTGAAGAATTAACGAACAAATAAATGAAATAAATAATTAATTATATTCAACTCGCGCAATCATTCAAGTTCAAGCTTCGCTGGGCGCGCTGGGGCCAGCCAATGTGCCACGACAGGAAAGCCAGTAGGCTCGTCGCTGATGTGTGCATGTGGCTTGCGGCCCTCCTGCGTTCGGCGTTTGTTGTCAAAGAGTGAAATTAATAAATGAATTCACAATTGAAATTTATTGTGTTTTAAATCCACTTCAAAAAGGACTGCTCCCGCGTTGGAGCGTTCGTCGCGGGTCTGCGGCGTCGGCGTTCAGTCAGTCACTCGGTTGTCTGACCAGTTCCCACCTTCTGCGGGTTTCCAGTCTGGATTTTTTGAACCGTTTGCGTCATTGAGTCTTATTTCAAGTTTTTTAAGAATAGTTTTTGCGGCGACTCGTTCGCCCTGAATTTGGCCGCGGTTTCCCGCAGTTCCTGCTCCGCAGCTGCCTGTACACCTCACCATGGGCGAAAGCGTCGAAGCCTTCATGGAAGAGATCCTCACTCTGCCGCGCTGCCTCCACCGTTCTCTTTCGCTGCTGCGGGACTTAGACATAAGAAGCCTTCAATGCGGTGCCGAGGCGGAGAGAAGACGCGGCAGATACCTCGAGATCGCCCGCGCGAAGCTGCACGCTCTCCACAGCAGCAGCAGCAGCAGCAGCAGAGACTGCCCTGCGGTGCCCGAGGGGTTTTACGAGGACCCCGAGCTGCAGGCCGAAGCAGCAGCAGCAGCAGTTAAGGGGCGCGAGGCCCACGCACTGATGCACGAAAAGATTGTGGTGGTGGAGCAGCTGCTGAAGCTGATAAGAACAGAAGCAGCAGTTTTTAGAGCTTCTCTTTCCAAGTGCGCAAAGGACTTCAAGTGTGAGGCTGCTGCTGCTGGCAGCAGGCCGGAGACTGTGCTTTCCTTTTCGGGCAAGCCCGAGAGCAGCAGCAGCAGCAGCAGCAACAGCAAGAGGGGCAACTCCAGCGACGCAGCAGCAGCAGCGCCAACAGCAGCAGCAGCAACACAGCCAATCCGCCTCGGCACTCCCTCGCTGCTGCCCAATTACCCCCCCAAGTCTTACAGCTGCGGGCCAGTTAAGAATCCCCTTTCCGAGAAGCAAACCAGCACCACAGCAGCAGCAGCAGCAGCAGCAGCAGCAGCAGCAACAGCTCTTCCGGCGCCAGCGCCCGCTGCCGCCTCCCTCCCTGCAACTTCAGCTGGGAGGGTCTTGCGGCCACCCAAGAAGAACTCCTTTCGCAGCAGCAGCAGCAGCAGCAGCGGCGCAGCAGCAGCAGCAGATGGTGCATGCCGTAGTGCAAAGCGACAGAGACCCAGCGCCGGCGGCCTCCCAGTAAAAAGGAATATGTCCAAAGATGCAGCAGCAGCAGCAGCAACAACAGTAGCAGCAGCAGCAGAGGTAGAGGAAGTAGAGCCCGGCGCTGCCGTGCTGCTCTCTTCTGCTGCTTTCCCTTTGCCGCAGCAGGACCTTTCTGCTGCTGCTGTAGCAAGGCGCGTTAGACACGCTGCTGCCGATGCTGCTGCTG